AAAAAAAAGTTGGGCAAAAAAATTATTGTCTCCATCATAAAATGTAAGTGGTCAGGAAGGTTGAACGACTGAACACATAGGGCATGGTATATCAAACAAAAAATTCTTCATTTTGTTCTTTCACATCTTCGTTGATTTATTCAAGAACTTATAAGCAAGCTCTGTGGAAGAATGAATCTCTAAATTTTCAAAATGCAGAAAGAGTCTTAAATTATGCATCACTGACAATTTACAGGGACAAAGTGTCAGATATTCCTATGTGAAAACAGCCTTCTCCATTCTCACACACACAAGACAGTGTGGGTTGTCCATTACCCTAACAAGGGGCTGACCCTGGAGACCGCAGGGGCACATGAACTGTCCCCTTTAGCACAACTATGGACCATCAGGGAAGTCCATACAACCAGGCGAGATCCTCCCTCCACTGGGACTTTCCCTTCAGGCCAGTTTACAAGAGAACAATCAGGTCGACAATGCCACAGGGTCAATCCAGAGCCGCGGCCCTTGACACCACACAATGTGCTGGGTTCTAACGGAAACCACTGGACATCTTTCACGGGAGACATCTGAATAGACGGCTCTCAAGTAGAATTACCACCAGTGATAAGGCAGTTGCAAGGAGAATTGTCACTGAGAATTAAGTATCTCACTCTATGCTTCATTTCCTAAAGAACTTATGGAGACAATTGTTAGAAACTGTATCATTATAACAAATGTCTCGTTTTCTGCCACCAAGTGTACCGATAGACATCTGAATAGACGGCTCTCGAGTAGACTTACTACCGGCAATAAGGCAGTTGCAAGGAGAATTGTCGCCGAGAATTAAGTATCTCACTCTATGCTTCATTTCCTAAAGAACTTATGGAGACAATTGTTAGAAACTGTATCATTATAACAAATGTCTCGTTTTCTGCTACCAAGTGTACCGATAGACATCTGAATAGACGGCTCTCGAGTAGACTTACTACCGGCAATAAGGCAGTTACAAGGAGAATTGTCGCCGAGAATTAAGTATCTTGCTCTGTGCTTCATTTCCTAAAGACCTTATGGAGACAAGTGTTAAAAACTGTATCATTATAACAAATGTCTTGTTTTATGCTACCAAGGATACCGATAGATTTCTGAATAGCCAGCTCTCAAGTAGAATTACCACCAGCTATAAGGCAGTTACAAGGAGAATTGTCACCGAGAATTAATTGTCTTGCTCTATGCTTCATTTCCTAAAGAACTAGTGGAGACAATTGCTAGAACTTACAAACTGTATCATTATAAGTAACAAATGTCTTGTTTTATCCTACCAAGGAGCTTTACTATTTAAAGCTCAAGTAGAATTACCACCAGCGATAAGGCAGTTGCAAGGAGAATTGTCAGTAATGTCACCAAGAATTAAGTATCTTGCTCTATGCTTCATTTCCTAAACAACTTGTGGAGACAATTGTGAGAAAGTGTATTATTATAATAAATGTCTTGTTTTATCCTTCCAAGGATACTGAGAGACATCTGAATAGCCGGCACTCAAGTAGAATTACCACCAGTGATAAGGCAGTTATAAGGAGAATTGTCACCGAGAATTAAGTATCTTGCTCTATGCTTCATTTCCTAAAGAACTTGTGGAGACAATTGCTAAAAACTATACAGTCAAACCTGTACTAGCGGTCACCTTGGCATTGCGGTCACTCGGCCATAGCGGTCAGTTTTTGCCGGTCCCTTGAATTTTTCCCATTGACGTAAGCATTAAGAATCGTGTCTATAGCGGTCACTGTTCAACGCGGTCAGCGGTCACCCCATTCCGGTCCCGCCAGCATGTCAACACCGCCGATAGCGGTCGCGGCTGGCCGTAACCCGCTAAGCACCACGGCCGTAACACCACCCCACCTCGGGCTACGACCGGTATGAGCCTTGTGATAATTTTCCGATCGCTACATTACTAAAATGTGAACTGAAAATTAAACTCCATATGTGTATGAAATAAACTGGCTTTTGACACGAAGTTTCTGCGGGTGTCTTTGATATCTGCGTTTTCCCCAACACCAGTGCCGTGCGTGCCGCATGGAGCTTTCAATGGACTCGGCCGCTCGGCGAAGATTACGGCAATTATCTTTACAAAAAAACTTAAGAATATCCATATTTGGTTTCTCGATTCCTTGAAATGCGTAGATATGTGCATAGCTTCCGTTTTTCATGAGCATAATTCAAGAAATTTGGCTCGAAAATGCGTTTCGTATTTTTCCAAGATGGCGCATGTGTTAGCTGCAGAGGGAGGTCAATTGGGGTCATCGGAAGACTACACTGTTATGGAGGTAGATACACTGAGTTTTATTTAACTTTATTAGCGTCAAATGATGTAATTACATTATGAAAACATTTGAAATACATTACAAAAAGTAATTTTAGATGTAAATTTAACACTGTAGTTGATATTTTAGGAAAGATATAAGTCTGAAAGGAGGAAATTTTCTGTTGACTACCACATTGGCATAATGGTAGAGGCAGACAACCCACGCGGGGAGAAACCCAAGCCGTAAACAAAGGAGAGTTTTCGCTAAGTTTTCATGTTCAAAAACGACCAAAAACGGAAAGTAACTGGCAACTGACTAACAATTATTTTGCTGTTAACTAAATAGACAGTATCTTGGTACAAAATAACTTATTTACGTAGTTGGAATTCGCTGTGGCGTATGTCGGTCGCGCGAAGCAAGTGTTCACCAAAGAGCAAAAACATGGCGATGTCGTTCTCTTCCACTTTTCGACTAACAACAACAACAACAACTAGTAACGTGGCGATTGCGGAGAAACGATGGCGAAAGCGGAAAGACAGACGCCGAACTTATTCCAAAAGGTGGAAGTGATCCGACTGGCAGAGAGAGTGAGAAGAAATCGTCGAAAGCTGAGCTTAGATTAAATGATTTTGCAGTCGATAGAAATTTGTTTGGAGTTGAAAGTTTGTTGCTTGATTTGCTTTCTTTTCTTTAGCCACATGTAGTACTAGTATGTACACAAGAACAGTAAATGACAACCAGTGATTTTGTATGTTTTAAATTATGTGAATGGTTTCATTGTCCCAGAATAGATGAACTGAATATGTTGAGTGTATGTATCTTTGATGTCAAGTTAATGTTTCCATGCAATATTTCTGTATTTCTTTTTTTTTTCAAGCAAGTACAAAATAAAGTACAACTAAAGCAAAAGAACAACAAATTATTGAACTAAGACATGTACATATAAAAGGGGTGTACCTTTGCAAATGTATGTATTCATATGTTTCAGAATAAAGACATCACTGTTGGTACTCAAAGCATGTGTCCCTTTTTTGGGGGGGGGGGGGTTCAACTAACCGGCTGTTTCTCTATAGTGGTCACCTGGCCATAGTGGTCAAATTTGGCCAGTCCCTTGAGTGACCACTATAGGCAGGTTTGACTGTATCACTATAACAAATTAATGTCTTGTTTTATCCTACCAAGGAGCTTTACTATTTAAATCTCCTTGATCCTACCAATTGAAAGCCAACCTTTACTAAGCGTGTACATGCATGCAGATGAAGGAAACATCCAGACCACTGCCTGAATGGAGACGGGATGTCTTTGAAATGAGCATGACACCTACCGAAGCTGTAGAGTGTTACAAGTAACAAGAGATAATTATACACTACACAATCTTCCAGTTCTACCAAGGACACTACATATGTTGGGGATTTTTGTACTGTGAATGCTGATAACTTTGCGGAGTTATATTATCTGGCAGGTGGGAAAAGGCAGTTTTTGCAATTGAAACAATTCTGCAGTACTACAGTAGTAATACAATTCATGGTGTTAACAATTTGCAGGAATGGGCATCGCAAAAATAAGTCCACTGCAAAAGTTTCTGCATTTACAGTACAACCTGCCTCCCAACAGTTTGTAAACAGTATGCTAGGAAAATGTCTCCCAACATCTGCTTGGGTTTAGGTAAACAACTTCGTTGAAGCCTTGGAGTTTGAAATTTTGCTTACTTCTCCGCTACTAATCCACGGGTAACTCTAACCAGCATCAAACAAGGTGTAGACGAATCTAATCAACCTTTCAGCATATCTGTTACAGGTGAAACATTGCCTGTCTGACAACAAACCTTAATCTGCACAATTTCCCCAACCACAAACAGGACGGAGGTTCTAGATTTACCCAGACTGGTTTAGATTATTCGGTCTGCTAACTGTTTGTTTCCTTCCCTTCTAGACCACAGTATTGACATAGCTGACAAGCATTGGCAGGGATACATGTATGTCTCACAGCATTTCTTAGAAAGTAACAAGAAAACCGGATGGACTTGTCCACACAAGGCTAAATTTGACTTGTCAATCCCCAAATTCATCCGGTTTTGTAAAGTCTGGTATTATCATGTCTAATTGTGTTGGATTCTTTTACACGTGTAGTGTAGAGGTTTGATGCCTAAGGCCTATGCCTGAAGCTGAGTGAAAGGACGAATACAACCTTTCACACCACGACTGCATTTCTGCAATCTCAGCAAAAAAGGACTAAATGCATCATTGCTTTAAATAAACCAAGATGTCTTTTAAACGATTACAACTTGATCTAGCACCAATCATGATAATAAAAGCCATACAAATCTATATGCATCCTAATAAGTATCCTAACATGTGAAGCCATATCAGGTCATTGACTGGGTGCATAGCGAGGTCACATACATTAGATTACTGATCATCAGTCTGATGACGAAAATGCCCCAAGGCAAAACACAGCAAGTTGTCTTCAAGTACTGTAAATGCTTTTACCTTCGCACTTAGTTCGCAGTGATTTTATTTTGCAGAATGAGGGAAAAGTAGGTTTTTACAGTGTTAGAAATTTGCAGTTGAAACAATTCTGTATTACAATAGAACTATAAAACACACATTTGTGTTGTATTATGATTTTGCAGTAAAAAAAACTAAAAATCCCAAAATAAAATTTCTTCATTTAAGGTACATGTATAATCTATAACCTAGGAGAGAAACGAAGTCCACTTACCAGGTTTTTGATACACGACGACACCCCCTTCGGTACAGGGATTCTCGACGGCTTGTGTCTTCCCTCGCTCTTCTGCGGCGCAGTCTTACTAACCGGCGGCGTTCTCTCTGGTGTTCGCATTGCTGAAGAAGTCTCGGGCCTTTCCGTTTCGGCCGGTGGAGAGATGGCCCTACTGGTGCTAGGCCTGGTCAGTTCTCGGCCCCTCAGCTCTAAGGTCCTACTGAATATCCTGTGTGGGCTCCTCCTGGGGCTGGTGCCGGTGTGACAGACCAGGGTCCCACGGTTCAGCTCCAGTATGCTGGTTCCCACCCCGGGGACTCTCGTCAAGGCTTCCAGGTTGTCAAAACCTCCCTGGACCTGGAACATGAATTGCAGTCGAAGATTAGGAGACAATACTTAGTATAACAATTATTCTTCTTCTTTCATATAATAAGAATAGTAAGGTACAACAACAGAAAATGGCTACTAGTATCTTACCCAAAGAAAATACTATAGCACAAATAGGCATTTATTTTCTAAAGAATAAAAAAAAGATTGATATGAAGGGAAAACACAAAACACAGGCAAGGTAAGTTTTGGAAGTTAGAAAAAAAGTGAAAGTTTTGTAGGTAGGCTCACTTTCTCTCGTTCCCCTACCTTAGCTGTTGTTATGACTTCTTCAGACGTCAGTTCTAAGAGCTAAGTCCGTACTTACTGATAGAGAAGTGTAACGCTATCCCACTTCTTGCCTCCAAATACTTTCCCTTTATGCAGTTTCTAACACATAGCGGAAATCCGTGCCAAGACATACCAGCCGCACGGCCAGCAGAGGCCAGGCATGACGAAAGTAGCAAGGCTGAATTTTGTCTACTGCATCACACCACAAACAACATCTGGTAGAGCACTACAAACTGGCAACATAGCTCGGTCCTAGCCTCCGTAGCAGGCTTACAAAACTGGGGGTTTGGTGGTCTTCTGCTGTTTTCTGATTAGCCCAGTTCAGTAAAAACGGGGATAATTCAACCAGGTCGGCTATGTTGTCTATATGCAATCAGAAAATAGCACATAAAAGATCCCAAAGACCCCCAAAACCCCCAGTTTTTGGCATGCTATGGAGGCTACCTCAGTCTGAACCTACCAGGGCCGTGCTTGTTGTCACAGTCCATTGACCATGTTGCACCAATAATCCCAGACAATACCTTACAATCACTATCTCTTCATCACTAGTGGGGGTGGGTTGTCTGTCTGTCTGACTCATGGCTTTGTTGTTTTTGAGCAATACACATTTAGGAGGGTAAAGAACTGTTGACATAATCGTTTACACGTGGTTCTGAAAGGTTTATCTTGATCAAGTTGATTCCGTGTAAACAAAAGAAGGTGGAAGTAAACAGGATGTATTTGGGATTTTTGGAATGTTCAATTTTTTAAAGTAAACTTTATGTTAAGTTTTGGTTTATCTCTTCTTTTTGCAATTGGTTATCTATTGTTCTTGAACGTAGAAGTGTATTCCCAGTTTATTATATCAAAGTTACATGTCTTCCATTGACATTCTTTGAAATTTCTGCTTCTTTCAGTGTCAGGGTTTGGTTTTCTTGTCATTAATTGCATTGGAAAGTTCAGTCTATAAAAATGTTATCTGAGAAAAAATGGCAAATAAAACAACAGGGGACCGGGAGTTACTTTGATCAGATTATAACAATTGTCACCGAGGTGTGAGCTGTTGTTTTTCTCTCCTGCTGACATAGCCGAAATTTCGCAGCTCCATACCAAACCCTGACCCTCACGCATGTGAAAGGAAGAGTTTATTTCACAACAAAGGTGGAAAAATGTTGGTTCCCATGGGACCAGAGTCACATGGATCTTCACACCCCCCTTTGTCTTCCTATTTCTTTTGTCTCTGGGCATGCCTCGGAGCCCCAAGCTACATACATATACACCACAGCAACTGTTTAGCCCCCATAGCATGCCAAAAACTGGGGATTTTGGGGCCTTTGGGAGCTTTTATGTGCTATTTTCTGATTGCATATAGACAACATAGCCGGCCTGGTTGAATTACCCCCGTTTTTTTTAGAACTGGGCTAATCAGAAAACAGCCGAAGACCACCAAACCCCCAGTTCTACGGAGGCTAGCAACTGTTACAGCTACAGTTTTTCCTTCCCTAAAACCCCTAGTATGTATTTTAGGCAGGCAGGCAGGCCTGATACTGGGGCCTTTCAGAGGAATCAGACACGGGGCCAAGTCAAAAGAATTCCAACCATGCCCGTCCATAAACAAAGTTATTGTCCCACACTAGTCGGGGCACCGACCAAGAACCTGGTTGGGACAGCTGGATTTTTCCCTAGCGTCACCAAAACAAAGGGAACTTGTGCCAAGTCTTTTGTCTCTTCATCGTTCGACAAGCTGAGCAAAAAATTAGCACGATTTTTAAACAAAGTAGGATCTAGATAGACTGAAAACTGCACCACGTTTTTCGGCTGGACATGGTCTAGTGGCGAGATGTAAATGTGCACCTTGGTATTTTTAGTGTCAACACAGGCCGGGTCGTGTCAGCTTGCAGCGGCATGGGAAAGTCTGTTCCACCGGCTTTAATCTTAAACCACAAGCGTTTATGCTACCAGTTTTATAATCCCTGAACAATTTTCACCACTTCTACATATACGTGAGAAGTTTAATGAGAACGACGACAACCGGTTTCACATGGGAAAATATTTAGTAGACAAAACGTGCGTTTTGTTTTGTTTCCGTATATTCAGTTACGCCGGTCTTTTCTGAGTGCAGAGGTCATCGGAAGGCGCGCGAAGCTCAACTCATTTTATGACAAGGTTACACAAAGGAATAACAAAGAGACCGAAATATTCAGGAAGACGTATAAGGAAGAGGAAAAGAGTAGGAATCTTCGCACATACCTCTCTAGCTTCGATGATCGCCTCAGCTTTGGCGCGGCCGACTCCCTTCAGCCGCTCCAAGTCTTCTACTGTTGCCACGTTTATGTCCAGACGTTTTCCGTTCGCCATAATTTCAATTCACACCCAGACGTCGTCAGATCATCAAAAACAACAACAACACGTAACGCCGACAGGTACCACACCTACTACAGCCTTCTCAAGTCTCCAGCGGAAGTATGAAAGAGAGCGGGTCCTTTGGGAGTTTCAGACGACAGAATCGCCAGCTATGGGAAAATCGGTTCGCCCTCCCCTGTGAAGTGACCCTTGATAGTCGCTCGTCGCGTGCGATCAAAACGGGAGCTTGAGAACCGAACGTTGGAACGTAACCTTGCTGGCTCGATGCCCAAGTTCCCAGGCCATCCTGTCAGCGTCTAGGAGAAGGTATCGTCTGCAGACAGGGTCGTCTGGCTAGGTTAGCGTGTGACGGACAGACGGGCACTCATCCCGACCCGACACCACTGCCGCCATTTTGGGGAGATCCTCGTACTTTTCTTCCGGTCATTCCCGGAAATCGACGAACACTCACGGAAACACCCGAAGTGGGCGTCCACGAAAACGCCCGATGTGGGCGGCCAGGATATACTAAGAATGACAAAGGATTTGTAAATGATCAATGTTATCAAAATGTTCAGAATCAAACAAACCCAAAGACTCAAACTGACTGATAGATAGAAACATATGGGATAGGCAAAACTGACAATAGTTGTTTCATTTGTTTAAAAGCTATTGAATCAATCTGATAATTCATGAATGGGGATGTAGCTCAGTGGTAGAGCGCGCGCTTTGCATGCGCGAGGCCCCGGGTTCGATCCCCGGCATCTCCACTTCCTTCTTTTTCGCTCTTCTTTTTTTACACACAAACAGAACGCAACGCTTTATTATAGCTCTCATTTTCTGACTTGCCTAACAGGAGGATGTATCGTAGGAAAACATTGTTTTTGCTGTTTCTTCTGTTCCAAACACTGACCTGATCATTGACCTGAACCAGACCGTCTATCACCATGGTAACTAGTTTTGGGTTAATACATCATGTTGCAATTTACAGGAGGGATTTAGACTCCTGTCACCATGACTGAGTTTAAGTAAGAATTAACAGAGCAGACCATATGAGAAGGTAAACATTATGCATTTGCTTTGCAAATGTTACCTTTCTAGTTACTGGTTTGTATTTATTACTGCATTACAAATTTGGTAGTGTGTTGTTAAATTTATTCATTATTTACGTATTACACTTTTCAGAGCAATTTCTATTCAACAATAACATCATTATTTCTTACGTACCAGACCCTGTACTTGCAAACAACACATTAAACTTGACAAATCATGTATCACTAGTTCTATATGCTCATACATCTATAACTGCGTCAAGAAGCGAGAAGTCGAACAATGTAAATAGTAGTTCACATTAGTATGTATAGTTTAAGTATTAATGCTGTATGCTTTTCCTTGTCTATTCATGACCTGTACTTAGCTGTTAGAGCACAAACCTACAATAAAGGTCTTTCATTCATTCATTCATTATCAAGCAACAACAAAGACAATTCAAACTGTTTAAGATTTTTATTGGTCATTCTAGTTGTTTTTCTTCTGAGCACATCATTTCCAAATAAACAATCTTGGAGACTGCTGTGGTGTGTTGAAAGTTGGTTCTTCCATATACAATGTATATTTGCTGAGCCTTGACCAACCTTGCAGTGGGGACCCCTAGCCGTTACCTTAATCATTGCAGTTTGATACTGCACCTGCTGTAAACCCATTGTATGTATATGTATACACTTATTTTTTAACTCATCCGACTCAGACCAATAAAATCATGTACGTTTAGTACATGTTGTACATTCAAGTCTCTAAACTTAGTTACATCATTTAATACTCACACATTTACATCGGCAACATATCAGGACTGTGCTACACAAGTTTATTATACATTTCCTCTAGTATAACCTTCACTGATTCTTGCAGTCTGCTTTAAATCACAAATAGATGTGCCATAGTGAACATCTGCAATATAGTTACTGTATTTCTTGTCTGTGTGTGTGTGTGGGTGCCGTCCATTTTGTATACTTGAATAGGGGAGGGTGGGTCAGATCATGGAAAAAGCAATGTTTAGTACATTTTTGTACATGAATACCTGCTGCGCATTACCAGTGTAGTGACATGAATTTGGTACACTCAGGCACCTATGGGTTGTCAAACATGTAGGTTCAACAATAGGGTAGTATGGGAAGAAAACTCTCTGGTCACCTCCCCCTTATGAAATATAGCAGGTGTTATGTGAGAGTGGTGGTTGACAATATAAGCCAGGAGAGTTGGTTGTTGCTTTTGATCCTAGTTCTGTTCAATATAGTAGGTGTGTTATATCATGTACATTGTACAAGAGATGGTGTAGAATACTAGTTGGTTGTTGCTTTAGATCTTTAGTTCTGTCCGATCTTGCGCTTGGGTATCCAGTCTCCACAAAGTACAGACTTCACCTTGGCCAGCAGACCTTCCTCATCTTCTATAGCCTGTTTCCCACCTGGGGTAGAAAGAAAAACACTTGTCACTATGTTACATAGAGCAATACAGCAATACAAAAATACCAAAGATTTCAGACTTATGAGAAGTGTTTTGGTATTTGTAAATGTATAGGAACTGTATTGTGTGACCATGGGGAAATACCTGATTGAATTACATCACATAATAGATTACATGTACATATATTTAATCATATGATTGTACAATATATGATGTAACCTCGAGAATTATTCGGGTATTTCACCTGGTTTACGACAAGGTTTATGATTCCAACCATAATTACATATATAGTACACATTCAGAGTGACTCCATACAACTACATTTGTACATGTATTACCTACTACATCATACTACGTATGGCAATCTGGGCCACACCCTGTCAATCAACTAAAACCAAATCTCTGCCCATTCCCAATTCTAGATACAGACTCCCCTTAGATTAGTGGATTTCTTAGAGGTAGATCAAGCAATTTCTTCTTTTCCTTCACAAGTAAACATAACAAGCAAAGTAAAGAACCAAAGAAGACACAAATTTCAAGCAATTTCTTTGTTATCCTTGTCGATGTACATGTACTAGTAAACATCAAGTTTACAGCCATACCTCTAAGAAATCGTGCTACCGTTGAAGGTTGCCCAGCCACCCCAGAACCTTGTCCTTAAGCTTGCTGAGGACTCCCCCTCCCTCCTTCTGCTCTACCTCCTCTGTATCCCCCACACTAGCCTGAACTCGCGTTTTCTCAACTGTGGGGCAGAGGAAGACAACTGATTTTAAAGGGACAGCTTTTTTAAAGAAATGTTCTACTAGTGCAAGTACTAGAGTTGGTCCCAAATTCTGGGAAGCCCCAACAGCAAGAAATCAAAAGATAGACAATATTTTTTGGATTGTCTTACCATTTGTACTAGTAGCAGAATGAACTAAACTCAAACTACAATCATCAAACCGTATAGAGTAACTAACTGACAATGTGTTTACCTCTTTCCAAATGTTTTGAATTTGTATCACAGTAAGCTACTAATAACAAACAAGCAAAGCTCTCACAGCACTCAAAAAGACAGGCTTTTCATGTAACTACACTGCAAACTGAGAGAGCTAATCCTATCCATGCATCGCTTTCTATGGTGGACAGAGGAAAACAACTGATTAAAAATTTTATTAAGAATCTTGGACACTAAATTGAACGAAACCAGCCTTTTTTTGCACAACATTTTAAAGAGGCCAACTAATCTAAACCAGGATAGTGAGTGAGTGAGTGAACTACATCAGGAGATTGTAACCATCCCTTGTGTACACTACCTAAGTGTATGTTACAGGTACAAGGTAGCAGAAGGAGGGTTAAAGAGGCTGTACCCACCATCCTGAGTGTTAGTGATGCCCTGGACTGTCCCGTCCACATCACTCTCCTCTTCTGCATACGCCATGACCAGGGCCTTCTGCTTGGAGGACAAGGAACTACAAAACGGGGAAACAGAGAATTAAGTCTCAGGCAATATAATTAAATGCTGTGTTTAGAATCATCTGTCATGTCTATGACAATGCAAGATTTTTTACAATTCTATAATACAGTAGCGATATGCAAAAACGCGAATTCGCCATGTCATGTTTTTGCAGTGGAGAGGTCACAAAAAAAAAAAGTTCACAATTTCTGCAGTAAGATCAGCTATGTGAAAGAAGAATGGAAGATCTGTATCTGTATAGCCGGTATAACCGCCTTTCGGTGCGTCAGCTTCGCAGGCACGCGGCGCGGTGGCAGCTGGCTACATTACACCGAGCGACTTGTTACACCTAACCCTTGAACATCTAACTCTAAGCATTGTTTAAAGCTAAAGATGATTGGACATGTATGTTACTTACTCTGGTACTTTAATCTTGATGTGTACGTAGTGATCTCCGTAGCCGTACCCCTGCACACGTTTGATGCCCTTCCCTGGCAGTCTCAGCCGAGTGTGGGACTGGGTGCCACGCGGGATCTACAGTTCAGTCAACAGGAAACATGTTCAACACTCTTGCAAACAATATCTTTCTAAGTTTATCATGATCCTATACATTCTAAGTTCATCTGTGTTGGTAGTAATCATAGTAAAAAGTTGAACTGATGAAGGCAACAGTGGTTGCTGAAAATTTGATCTCTCTGTAAACTGTGTGTTGGAATAAACTTCAACTTTTTACTATCATTCTAAGTTGGCATGCCTTAAATGTTGGTGTGAATCCTTGAGTTCAGATTTACTTTCAGGACTCGAAATCCTTTTTTTCTGCATACCTGCACTGGTGTAGGCAACATTTAAAGTTACCTGCACCAGACAAGTTTAAGCTGCACATCAGGAATACCTGTACAGCTACATTTTTACCTCTGCTAACCTGCAAACATTTCAAACCCTGACCTTTTAGTACTTGATTATTTACATGGAGGTTTTAGCCAGGCCTCATAACATCAGATCTACAAGGTAGTGATTACCATTGCAGTATGTGAACAGCAGAAGATGTGTTAATCATAGGCCATAAGTATAAGACCTGAGCTCCTATAGGACTGATTTTCATTGTGTTTAAGAATCCTCATCTCCTATTGGCAGTTAGGGGTGTATGGCCACAAGCTCTTAGGGATGAGGCCCAATCAGCCTGACATCAAGAGATTGCTTAACACAGGCTAGCCTCCGTAGCAGGCTTTTAGAACTGAAGGTTTGGTGGTCTTCGGCTGTTTTCTGATTAGCCTCCGTAGCAGGCTTATAGAACTGGGGGTTTGGTGGTCTTCGGCTGTTTTCTGATTAGCCTCCGTAGCAGGCTTTTAGAACTGGGGGTTTGGTGGTCTTCGGCTGTTTTCTGATTAGCCTCCGTAGCAGGCTTATGGAACTGGGGGTTTGGTGGTCTTCGGCTGTTTTCTGATTAGCCCAGTTATTCAACCAGGCTGGCTATGTTGTCTATATGCAATCAGAAAACAGCACATAAAAGATTGCAAAGACCCTGAAGACAAAAAAAACAACAGTTGTTGGCATGCTATGGAGGCTAAACACAAGCTAGGTTTTTAAGGAATATAGGATGTGCTCACATCGATTGTGACGTTGTCATATATGCCCTTGATGCGCATGTTCCCTCCGAGAATGGCCTGAGCGATGGAGATGGCTGCGTCTGTGTGGATGTCTGCACCTTCACGCCGGAAGTACTCACTCCTCGCAACCTGCGACAGGTCAACATATTAACTCTTGGTAGGCTACAAACCACCTGTGTTACCTATCTTACAGGTTTATCCATAATATGAATATTCAGGTAGAATGCAACCTTAAGCATTCTACTTGTCATACAAGCAGTATCATCTGCTTTCATAACTTGTTTTACAGGAGACAGTCTATGGGTGTACTGAATAAAGACAATATGTGCTTCCACATCCTCTCTTTCACTTTTTTGTCTAGAGTACTCACGGGGTAGACTCGATATACTGTAGAACTTTCAAAAACTAAGTATGTGAGAGAACGGATAATTCTACATTCTTCATTATAGTTCGATGGCAAACATCTTAAATAGGTCTCAGTTGTACACCAAAGTTGTACTCACCCTGAATGTGATGAAGAGCTCCTTACTTCCCATGGGCATTCTCACAGTCTGTCCATCCTCAACACCTGGCAACGTGGAGGGGAGATATGTACATCTCTAGTAAAGGTAAAACCCAACTCCTTATGTAAAGAAGACCGAACCTTTTATGCCTTATGATCATTCCAATCCTTAACACTAAATTTGTACGCATTTTGGATAACATTTGTGTTTATCTACCACTATTTGGAAGTTGGTGATTCACTACAAATCACCCACATGGAAGCCTGGAGAACCCGTCTCATATTAGCCACTCCTAAAATACATCAGCCATACCAAAGCCACATTATACTAGGAACTACTTGACAAAGCATCACCTTCAACTGAGTTGAGGATGGCAAAAATAAAATAAACATTGTATTGTGGAAGTAGATCTAATACAGCAGTGATCCTACTAACCTGCAGGTACAGGCACCATGACAGATTTTTTCTGCTGAGTCTTGCCCTGTCCCCTGCAGACGATACAGGGGGTGGTGTAGATGGTGCCCTGACCCCGACAACGCCGACAGGTCGAGCGCATCATGAACGGACCCGTGTTGATGGTTTCCTAATGAGTAGGAACAAGAAATCAGGATTGTTTTCTTCTTCGGGTGGTGTATAATGCATCATACTCACAATGATTACTGCCAATTCCAGACAGAACGTACAATGGCCGAATGTACTGTGATTGGGTTTTCAGGATTTTTGTTGGATGTGTGGCCAATGTTGCATCAGGACTTTGCTTGTTGCAGACAATATCTTTTCTGACACAACATTTGAAAAAATGGACAAGAGGCCGTAATACAACCTTAAACAAGACATTCTGTCGAAGTGCTATGCACAGTACATTACAGGTTCGCACAGGTGCAGTACGTTCTGCTGAGCTTCTATAACATACTAACCTGTCCAGTGCGATGGCAGTACTGACAGCGAGTGATTTTGGTGCCAGGTTCAGCCTTGTTGCCCTTACATCTGGGACACGTGTCCATCATGCTGAAATATCCCAATTATTATAACATACTAACCTGTCCTGTGCAATGGCAGTACTGACAGTGAGTGATTTTGGTGCCCGGCTCTGCCTTGTTGCCCTTACATCTTACAGCTACACCTATAACATACTAACCTGTCCAGTGCCATGGCAGTACTGACAGCGAGTGATTTTGGTGCCAGGCTCTGCCTTGTTGCCCTTACATCTTACAGCTACATCTATAACATACTAACCTGTCCAGTGCCATGACAGTACTGACAGCGAGTGATTTTGGTGCCCGGCTCTGCCTTGTTGCCCTTACATCTTACAGCTACATCTATAACATACTAACCTGTCCAGTGCCATGACAGTACTGACAGCGAGTGATTTTGGTGCCTGGCTCTGCCTTGTTGCCCTTACATCTGGGACAGGTGTCCATCATGCTGAAGTTCAGCTCCTTGTTAACCCCTCGGCACGCTTGGGTGAAGGTCAGGTCCATCACAAACTGGGGGGGGGGGGAAAGAAACAACAGTAAAACATTAGAAGGGTAACATTTGCATTTAGCAAATGCATAATTGCCCTGAGGAAAGTGACAAACGGTCACCGAAACGTAAGCTGAATAAAAGACTTGGTTGTGTAGAAAGAGTCTATTTACTCAGTGACTTACCAACCTGATGAAACTATTCACGGATGCATTATGTCTATCTTGACATGGTATAGCACAACAAACTATTGCTTTGTTTATTCTTACTCAAACACATTCATATATATGGTGACCAGCCCATCCAGCCAATTGCTACATAATGTAATCCAACACCACATCATATACTACAGCACCAGTTACCATGGTGACAGCCATCATTGACGTTATTTTTTTGGAGAAGAAGAGTTTATTGAGATACCCTTTAGCCCCATTGGGACTAATCTGCCAGGGCTCATCAGATACATAGAACATATAGAATATAGAATATACAAAGAAGAAAAAGAAATGGAGCAAACACAATATATTGTCCTTCTCCGAAGGTTACACATTTACGAAGCAGTGAAGTAGAAAAATTATCCCACCTCTTGTGGTTGCTCGAATTGTGACTCAAAGTCGAAGCCCTGGAACCCTCTTCCCGCGTTGGAGAACTCGCTGAACACCCTGCGGAACAGTTCCTCCGGATCCACATTTGTCGACCACTGGCTCTGGGAGAACCCGTGGCCCGTACTGGCGCCGGCACCGCCGAATGCACCAGCCGAACCAAACGTGTCGTATTCACGCCTCTTCTGGTCATCACCTAATATCTGCCATGTGGCAAAAAAAAACAACTGTTGTAGCAAATAATGTAACAACTGTTGTGGCAAACACACAAGAACTGCTGTAGCAAATACATGTAGTAGAAACAAGTTCTGTACAATATGGCTTCAAAGTGCCAATTGTCCAGAGGTTAAAGCCCGTGACTTGTTAACAGTTCTTGTCTTTTACTTATGTTTTACTAGTAGATTCCACTTAGTGTCATGCTACCATTGGTTGAACAGTGATGGACAGGAAGGACCAAGGTATTGTGACATGAAACTCAGGAGGTCTTATCTCTCCAAAATCTTTTTCACCCTACCTCATATGCTTCTGCAACTTCTGCAAACTTCTTCCCAGCGTCCTTGTCCTTGTTTGTGTCTGGATGCCACTTCTTTGCCAACTGGAATGGACAACCCAAAACAGCTTAGTGACTTAACTGGTTGATATGCAGTAACTGATTGTGTGAGTTCAGATGTACCTTTACAAATTACATGGCCTCATAACATCAGATCTACAAGGTAGTGATTACCATTGCAGTATGTGAACAGCAGAAGATGTGTTAATCATAGGCCAGGTGTTTAAAAAAAACGGCTACCTAAAATTCTATTCAAATTATAGGATTATTTAATTTTGAAACAGGATTTCGGAACATAATATCAAAAGGTATAAAAATGTGTTTCTTACCTGATAGTAGGCCTTCTTTATATCTTTCTGTGAAGCATTTTTTGAAACTCCTAAAATTTTGTAAAAGTCTTTTCTCTGTGTGCAAACTGAGGAGGTATGGAACGCTGCTATTCCTTCTGGTGCCCTTTGCCACGGTTGTGCTGCAAAAGTAAAAATCACAGTATATTTAGGTATACATATCACGCAATAATGTCTGTATGTTGTTTAATATGCTAGTATCATTTTGTTGACTAATGTTGATTATGCAAAAAAAAATTATGTTTGAATGTCAATATGCCATTAATAATGAAATCAGAAATTTATGAAGTATCAAAATTATCTTCAGCTTCCTAAATTCCCCCATGTCAGCATTCCTGCCAGATTCTGTGACCTTTGACCTTATGCCTGTCAATCTTCCCCGACCCACGTGCTGTCAACCTACTGTCTCGACTGACAGCAACACAAACCTACATCTCTGCCACCCAAAACAATACTTCCGCGCCGAATGTTGCCAAAAAACAAATTCTGATGCTTTGGTTCCCAGTGGTACAGAAACTGGGCCTGGGTGACGTAACCGTCCGATTTTCTATGACGCAAAAGTTGACTACCACTCCAGGAGTCCTTATATACGCAATTTAACGAAAAATAACATTTGTAAAAAGCTAGTTTTGTGTGCAAAGAATGAGACATACATAAACGGTGTAGTAACGGCTACGCTTTCTACGATAAATTTATGATTTAATTTTTGTAGAACGAGCTGCTAGCAGACAACCAACCATGTGCGCAACCTAGCAAGGTTAAACACCTACCTATTCTGCCGGTTAAAATGGCTTGACATCCACATACTGGCGCCCTAAAATGCGATAAACTTCTGAAGTAAACTATGAGAGAACTGTTGGTAGTCCCTGGAAATCTGGGGTTTCTGTGCGACGCGGAAAATTGAAGATTTTTCGACAAATTCAGTCTGCAAAACCGGGACACCGCCATTTTTCTCGGCTGCTGTTCTGCGCAAGCGCGTAGATGGTGATCGCAACCTCTCGCGAGACTTTGTGACGAGATCTGAGGGTGAAATGCGCAGTGACGAAGCGCCATCTACCGTTGATATTGCTTACTGCAGCTAATAAACAGTCACACGGTGGGGTCGTGTGGCGTAGCGGCAGAGTGCGCGACTCGGAACTTAGAGTCCCGGGTTCGAGTCCTGACATGCCACCCATCTTGTGCCCTTAGGAAAGGCACTTTACACGACTTTCCTCACTTCGCTCAGGTGAAAATGAGTATTGTCATGTCATGTACTAGTATTTGTCCCCTGTGCTGGTGGCGGCATTAATATAAGTTGAAAAGACTTGAGTGTGTCGTCACCACGTCTGGTGATTACATGTTGGAATAAAAAAAAATAAAAAAACAGTCATACCGTAGTTTTCAGACTTTTTGTGTATAAAGCATGAATTGATTGATTTATTGATTGATTGATCGATCGATACCAAGCAAAATAGAAAGACAAAATACCCACCTATATATCAGTAAATTACGATGGCATAGAATAAAGTCTCAAACTGCAAAGAAAACTCTAAGAATTTTTCGATATTTTTTTCCGGTAAAAGATATGTGGAGGAGTGCCAGACCTTAAGGACTCTCCAAGCTGAGGTTTAGGCTTTGGTTTATTTTTGTCGCGCTTTTAGGAATTATCGGGGTTTTCTTATTTTTGTACCTGTATCTTTTTTTCGGGGGCAATTAATTGATACTGTCGATTTGACACTGTCTTGCAGCCACCACAGAGTACAGTCTACTTGGAGATTGTGAAGACTCCGCGTTGAATGATTTGCGGCCTGATCTTTTGTTGTGGGCGGTTGTCAGCGCGGTTTCACACATCATTTGGGAGTAATTCAGACCGACTGAGTTCGGTAAAATTGGATTTACGGTCGCGAAAATCGTTCAGCCAATTTGGCCGCATTAGTGTGGGTGCACGCAGGTGCGCAGCGATGCTTATGTAAGGGGGTGTAATGGAGTCTGTACCGCAGACATCCGGTAAGAACCTCTTTTCGGCCGCTCGGTTTAATATTGAGCCAGAGGTCAGCAACCGTAATGTCTTGTACACGCACGTACGCGTACGTATTGTTTTTGAATAAGGGGACGGGTCATTGAGGCTTATTAAAACGGCGAATATAACCATCATATTCACAGCTTTTTCATCTGTTGTTTCTTTAGTACATGTATTTATAAAGATTCATATCATTATTCAGAGAAACATAAAACGACACAAATAAAAAGACAACCTGTTGTGACGGCGGACTCAAGTTATACGCAATTTATTTTCTCGCTGCCACAGATTACACATTATGGAAAATCAGAATATTTGACAAGACACTAAAACTGATGAATATGATACTAAATGAATAGATACATAAAAGATGCCTATTTTGATTGAACTGGCGGTGTGTTCTATGATAAATAATTTCTCAGAGAGATAAAAAAAAGAAACCATCAACCTAATTGTTTTCTTTGCGGCTGAACTGTGTCTATTTTCATTACACTTTGGTTGAAACAGCTTCAGCTGTTTTTCATATACCACATTCACATTGTGAATAATTTCTCTGAGAGATTAAAAAAAAAGAAACCATCAACCTAATTGTTTTCTATGCGGTTGAACGCTGTCTATTTTCATTGCATGTTGGTTGAAACAGCTTCAGTTGTTTTTCATATACCACATTCACCCACGCACAGTACTGTAACCATCCCGTGACAATACACGCATGCCGCGGGATATTTCTGCGTGGGAGACTGAATGCCGTCATATGTATGCTTCCAAACATGTTACTTCAGTTATTCTCCGCTAATTGAAAAGTAATTGAAAACGTGCTATTCTGACATCATTTCGGATCCCTTCAAAACAGCACAGCTAACCGTAAATGCACATTTTTTTCTAACCAAGGACATTACACATATCTATAATGTCCTTGTCAGTCAATGGTTGACCCAGTGAGTTTTGATATTTATTTCATTTACGGTGCATGTTTACTACGATCCGGATTCATTTTCATTACATGTTCATCGAAACAGCTTCAGTTGTTTCTCCTACCACATTCTCCTACGCAGAGCTATACACGCATGCCGCCCGGATAGCTGCGTGGGAGAATGCCGTCATATCATGTATGATTCCAAACATGTTACTTCAGTTCTCCTTCTCTGCTAATTGAAAACTGATTGAAAACGTGCTAAGTTGTTTAGACACAGTCACAATTTGAATCATTCAGGATCCTTTGAAAAACAACACAGCTAACTTTAATGCACATTTTTTTCTAACCAAGGGCATTATATATACCTATAATGTCCTTGTCATCACCAGTCAATGGTTGACCCAGTGAGTTTTGATATTATTTCATTTACGGTGCATGTTTACTACGATCAGGATTCATTTTCATTACATCGAAACAGCTTCAGGACCCTTCGAATTCAGTTGTTTCTCATATCACATTCTCCTAGATCCTACGCAGAGCTATACACGCACGCCGCCCGAATAGCTGCGTGGGAGAATGCCGTCATATGTATGATTCCAAATACTGTTGCTTCAGTTCTTCTTCTCTGCTACTAGTAATTGAAAACTAATTGAAAACGTGCTAAGTTGCTTAGACGCATCACGATTATTCTGCCTCTTTGAATCATTCAGGATCCTTTAAAAAACAGCACAGCTAACTTAAATGCCCAGGCAAGAAACCTGCATGCCTTGGAGGCTAGGCCACTAGGCGCTTTTCCTAATCTCCAAGCAGATCTTTCGGTGGGGGTTAGAAACTCTCCAAGAAGAGGTTGTAGGGGAATGATCGTTAGATTTTTGTATATGGCAGTTTTTTTGTCTCTACTCGCCGGTGGCCGGCGACCTTCTCTGGCTAATGGATACTCTTGCCACCAAAAGGATCTGCGTGGAGATTAGGGGTAAGACTATCAAATTGGCCAGCCTGTATCCATTTAATTTCTTCGGTGGGGAAATGCAAATGGATACAGGCTGGCCAATTTGATACTGTCTTACCCCCACCGAAAGATCTGCTTAGAGATTAGCTTTTCCCCATGACTAGGATAAAATTGTCTGGATCGAGCCGAAAGCTGTTTTTCTTACATTTCTAATTATAGCTTTCTTGTCGCCTGAATTCGAAAACTGTCTATGCTATCTTTGTTACATTTCTAATTATAACTTTCTAATTTCTGCCGTCCTAATTCGAAAACCGACCCTGTAAAAACGCCTAGCGTGCGGTATTAACTGTTAAATGGAATTGGGTGGGCGGGTAATACAACCAGCACCGTAGAGAGACCGAGGAGCCAATGGTTTCCAGCTAGGCAATTAGCCCCATCCCGCGGCATGTCAGCCCTATATGCCAGAAAACTGGGCGATCAGAAGATAATAAAAACGACTCTGTGAGTTATGTCATATCATCCATGATATGATATGACACCTAGCCTGGGTACCATCCTATTTATAAGACAGGGCTCCCATACTCCCCCCTAAGAAATTTCGGTGGGAGTATGGGAGCCCCGGCATACAAATAGGATGGCACCCAGGCTAATGACACCAAGGATCTGGCACAATTTCAAATATCACAAGTGCCATAAAAAGAGGCGGTATCGCTCGTCAAGTAAATAATAAAAGCTGATCATAGTAGTACGGTTTGAGATTTATTTGAACCACCGAAGAGGTTGTTATCGCACCTTATTACCCTCGCTTTTTATACAACATGCCACATTTATCGAACGCGTCTTACGCGATATACTAAGTAACTGCACGGAGGTAACAGAAAAGCAATCACATGGTGACATTTTCGCGACATGCCATGACGAGAAAGGGAGCATGGCGGAGTGAGTGTGCTTATTTTGCCGTATATGTGTATGTTTGGCTGTTCCTTCAACTATCAATTTTCTTATGATTTCTGTTTCGATAAGACTGGAACGAGGCGGTCGCACGGGTCGTTTTATTCTTCATCATCGGTTCGTTCAGACCCTCCCCGATAGCATTAGTGGTTTGTCCCTACAGGTTTACACGTTCGTCTTCATTTTCGTGTCGCATGTAACTACGTATTAAATGTACTAGTATCTGTGGCACCCAACCTACGTGTTAAAACTGTAACGGTTACACGTATTTAAAAAAATTGACATGGTTTCAAACGTTTTTGGACAAAAATAACTTTTTTTTGGAGAAGGGGCCCCACACAGTGGAATTAACGTACTGCCCCCAGTTCTCGCGTTGTTTGACGCGCCACGAGAGTTCGCGCTCGGAACGAAGATGGCGGTGGACTCTTGCAGGTAGTCGCGCATTTCTTCGAACTGTAATAAACTTCTCAGCTCCTCGGGCGGCACGATCGGCGAGTGAACCCTCTACCGGAGGCGGTCGCAAGGCTGGACGGATATCACGTCTCAATATAACCGCTGGAGAAGGCGATTTCTTGCCGTTTTGCCATCGGTTCCAGAGCCGGGGACGTCAGTGTGAAGTGGGCGGGCTTCAGACCGTAACGGAGTGCCGAAGAAAAGCATCCTTGACTCTCGGTGATTTTCTATTCAGCAAAACCCGCCGTTGTTATAATATTCTTACGTGGATGACGTGCCCGTCGCGATGACAATATTATACAGTCCTTAACGTATCATATCATATATCATATCAAGCCTGGAAAGCGAATTTGGAGTGCCATCGTCACTTGGCAGTGTAAACACACACAACGATCGCCGGAAAAAACACGAGAAAGAGCTCCGCATTCTGGTAAGTATCAACCTTAAATTTACGAGTTCCAAACATTCCTACTAGCTTTGTTTACATCTACAGGGTTGCAATGTCGACACGAAACGGTATACCAGCTAGTGATTAATTAGATTATAGGATAATTAACAGCTCAAATTATGATTGGAGAAGGCAAGTGATATCTTTGCACAAGTCATGGCACCTGGGATTCTATATGTTGTTGTCATGATCATTTTCTTATTTGCCCAAGCGTAACGCTCGCACACAATTATACTCCAGTGACCCTACAATTTTAGTACGTAACGTGGTAACAGAGAGACCACTTGTTGTCAACGTTTTTGGTAATTAGATTTAGTTAATTTACAGCCTTAATTAAACAGCGGGAGTGACTCGACAGGAACGCTGGAAGCCTTATAATTAAGGTTAAGTGTAACGTCAATATAAACAAATTGAAAAGTGGAGGGCACTTGTAGAATATTGCAGCAACACAGACCCTCACCTAGTTTTGCTGACATTTTTGCTCTATTGCTAAGATATTATAGAATGTCAGCAAAACCTAATTGCAAATCGCACCCCCTCTTTTGAATTTGAAATTCTGTTGCTAACTCAAAAATACAACAATGGTTGTATCAATTTTTGATGACACTTAAATGTCAATATAATATTTATGCCATAATCTTAAAAACACAAATATGTAGATCCATGTAATGGTTACTGGTATGCTTGCAGTGAAAAAAATAGGTGCACTGTCTGACTGTCAGCTCAATGTGGTTACAAGAGTGCTATCTAAACATACAGTTATGTACAACAAAGGTTTTATTAATTTTTCATGACACTTAAATGTGAAAAAATATTTCACATACCTCATTCGCTCCACATACTCAATGGTTGAACCTGTGAATGGTTATAGGATTTAATGACCAGGCCTTGTGACACCATATGTGATATACACCGAAGAACATGTGGGTCATTAACCCTTAATTAAAACACTGTCCCATCCAATATCACCCTCTGCTAACCATGTGCAACCAACTGTCTTACCCAACCAGAAACCACTTTTTTGTAGTCTCCATGGATCATTCCTACGCCATTCAACAACCGAAATTGATGACTTTGCTCTACACACAAGCAAAATCAGTGAAGCATGTTATTATTGTGCAAAGTACAAATCGAACTGGTGGGAATTTTAATATAGGAAAACTGTAGGAACTTTTCTTGGCCATTTTAGAAATAGAAAACTGTAGATTATTATTATAAACCTAGCCTGTCCAAAGGCCACAATTGATTTTTAAGCAAACATTGCTCTGTGTTTTCTGATGATTAAGCAATGGTTTACTGACATTTATTCACATGAAAATATGGAACTTTTATAAACTGTGGACATCATACATACTTGTAGATATTTTTCATGAGAACTAAGGTGTACGATGTACATTGTACAAGTGTAATGTTTTTTTTCAGCCAACCAAATAATTGCAGCCCATTTGTCTGGTGCAGTGTACAAATGTATTTCCTCCTCACCAACCATTTCCTTGAAAGTTGAAGTGGTCGTTGAGACCAGGTTTATTTGAAGAAGGTTCTCAAGTTTTATAATGCGGAAATAGAGCAAGTCTGTAGTGGTACTTGTCATACATGTGTGTCAAGTGTCACAGACATTTTTTTTCTATTGTTCGGATGGTTCGATGTTATGACAAAATGCTCTAAAAATTTGAAGGATTTTTTTTGTCATTTATAATGACAGCAACAAACATGGGAGATTTAAAAAATTTCAATGCAGATAGTTAATTACCGCAAACAATTTGCAGCCAGAGATCAAAATTAATGATTCAATATTATGATCAATGCAAATTTGAATGGATTTTTTTTGTCATTCACAATAAAAGCAATAAACATGGGAGATTATATTTAAATAACAAACATGGGAGGTTTCAGAAATTCAACACCGATAATTACTGTAACCCATCGCAGCCAGAGATCTAGTCTAGCGCAGATCGCCCTTTCGCTCCGGTGAGTGGGCGTAAAATTGCCCGAACGACCTTTGATAGTTATTCATCCGGCGTTGGCAGAAACGTTGCGGGCAGACTCCTAAGTCCTTCATCCTTCCTTCAATACAAATGAGTACTTCCGACCACCGCCAGGTCCCAGACTGACAAGCTAAGAGACTTGGGAATTGACACAGATTTCCAGACACCTTTGACCCAATTCTGGAGCCATGGTGTGTTCCATATAAGGTCGTGTGTGGGTGAAGAAGTGGGTCAGTTGCCTTGACGCAGGCTAAAGGATTGGTAGAAAATGCGGTTACCGATTGGGTACTCAATTTCACTTAGTATCAGGAACATTTTGACTTCTTGTAATACTGTATGAATGGTTATAGGTTGGTAGCCTGGTTACCAAACCTATCATATATAGCTCCCTAGTCCTACATCCTGTCCTATTTGCAGAGAGGATGTAGGACTTGGGAGCTATGATAGGTTTAGTAAAAAGGGCTAATGCTAGGAGGGACCAGACTTACAAGAGACTTGGGAATTGACACAGATTTCCAGTAACCTTTGACCTACTTCTGGAGCCATGGTGTGTTCCATATAAGGTCGTGTGGGTGTGAAGAAGTGGGTCATTTGCCTTGATGCAGGCTGAAGGATTGTTGGAAAATGCGGTTCCCGATTGGGTACTCAATTTCGTTTACTAGCAGTATCAGGAACATTTTGACTTCTTGTCATACTGTATATATGGATTGTTATAGGCTGGTAGCCTGGTTACCTATACCTTATTGGTACTACGGTATTATAGCTCCCGAGTCCTACATCCTGTCCTATTTGCGGAGAGGATGTAGGACTCCGGAGCTATAAAATAAATAGGTTTGGTAACCAGGCTAATACATATAGGTTGGAGGGAACTTAATTTTGTGGCATAGGAAAGAAAATAACAACAACTTATTCACTCCATCCAGGTATAGAATGCGAATGGGTACCTGACTTCGACTAGGGTCAGGTAAAACTTACTAAAACTTACTAGGGATGGGCTCCACTTTGCAATACCATGCCCTAGACACAGTGAACTAACAACCCACTGCCCCTACAACCTCAAAAAGGCAATTGGTACTAGCTTCATCTTTTTTTGTGGACAGAAATTGTGAAATTACCGGCACGTCTGCATTGCAATTGGATATTGCTGAACCCTTGTCACAGACTGGTGCTGTTTGGTTCGCTGAAAATCCCATTTTCCCATCATGTTGGAAATTACAGTTCAATGCTGCTTCGCCAGTTAGTGACCAAGGACGCGTTGAACAACTCGGACAACGACAAGTGCAGACGAGGAGTTTTATTCCAGACGTGTTTACAACACGGAGTCGGTGTTAGGACTGACTCCTGGAGGGGTCACATAAACTATGAGCGCACGGGCTCATTAGCATAACAAACTCTTAGTGGCGTGATTCCTTTTCTTCTTTCTTTGCTTCTTTCTTTCTATCTTTCTACGGAGGTTAACGTAACGTTTGAAACATATATTAGTATACTGGCTACTACATATGATATGCTTAGTAAAACAAAGTCTAGCTAACTTGAAACTTTAGAACTCAACAGCTCATGTTAAAGTGCACTACTGGAAACCAGTTGCAAACTTTGGTCTTAGTTTGATTAATCATGTTTAAATACAACTGATTATGTTTTAACAAGAGGTAACGAACTAGCCCTGAACTTGGCGGACCTTCTACTATCTTTTATCTATATCAGTATCTAAAACTAGGTCACTAACTAGCCTTGCTAGATGAGTCAAGATAACAAAATATATATCCTACTAGATACTGCATGTGAACATAAGAAAATACATGTATATCATCGTACTACATGTGGGTGGGAGATCACATATCATATTACGAGTGGGTCAGAGTTCAGAATGTTCGTCAAGTAGATGTTCAGGTAGCGATTTTAAATGTTCTGTAACAGGTACAGTTCAGTTCGCGGTGTGGCCGGTACAGTTCGGGTCTAGATGGCGTTATCACGGTGGTGTCTTGGTCGTAGTATGTACTCGCGATCGGCTTCCGGGAGGTGTGGGCAGGCACTCAAGTAGTGGTCGACGGAATGTCTGCCTGATTGCTTGCACAGAGGGCATTCTTTCTTGTTCTGGGGTTGCTGTCCCTGAAACTGTTTGCGGGGATGCTGCAGTCGCAGGGTTCTGATTTCTTCAGTACTGTGTAGTTCATCTAGCAGGGACTTAAGGGCCAATGAAATCTCAGGTTTGATAGAGGCGAGTGTCTTGTGCCTCAACTCTGCTCCATACCTCTGTTTTACTAGGGCAGGGAGATCTGTGTGTAGCATTCTCAGCCATAACAGTACTATCATGTTTTCCAATGATGGAGTGACTTCCTCGTCGGCGGTTACAGCTTCACCGAGATGGGTAATACCCCCCGCCCTGGTGAGTAAGTTGTCGTCTACGGCTGCAGTCAGCCGCTGGAATAAATCTTCCGGTTTCTCGTTTGGTTCTAACTTGACGCTAGCAATGTCCAAAAAGTACCCTCCTGTTGACTGAAAACCGAAGTGAAGCCGTATCGCTTGCCATATATCTGACAAAGAGGTACTTGCCTTGACTATACGGTTACGGGAAATGATGGGGCAGAAGTTAGCTATCTGTCCCAACATGAGGTCCAAGCTGGCCGCCTTCTGCGCCGCTGTTCGCCGTGCGTTTTCTGGGACAGGGTCGGCATCGTTCGCGAGACCGCGGTTCTCTACTCCTTTCTTTTGCCAGGTGAATCCGTCGGTCAGGAAAGGAGCAAATTTGGTGTCGAGGGACAGAACGTACACGAGGTTCGATCGCCAATTCTCGAAGGAGTTGATCGTCTCAGTCTTGGTTAAGCACCACTGGCGCGGAGCTCGAGTGGCGGTCGCCATGATGTCAGAACAAAGAACAAAGGAACTGACCGAGAGAAGCACGTGCGTTCGTCTGGGCGATGCAGGAACACGCCTTGTTTTGGTGCAGTTCGGTTGCGGACCCGGCGCAAGCTGTCTTCCTAAACGAAGGTTGGCCCA